AGAGCCTGGGTCTGATTGCAACCAGAGAGTAGAATAAAAATTTTCAAACTTGTCCATTGTTTTTCCAAGCCTGAGCTCTAACAGGTTCATCCCTTGCCACCAGTTCTCCTTCAAGTATGGAAAACCAGCTGTACAACAGGGACTTCCTGCTGCACACTTCCTTTGCTATGCATTTGGGGGCCGGGACTATGCTTGCTGCTTTGGTTGCACAGTGGCATCTGGTGGCCCAACAACAGGTGTACCCTTCCAAAGTGGGGAAATTGGTGCACACTGGGGATATGTCTGTAATTCTACACAGTGACCTTGCTGTGCACCTGAAGTGTACCCAAAGTTCTTCTTTTGCACATGCATATCCGTAATGTGCACCAATTGTGCGTTCACAGCACCAGGATTACTCAGGGTCACATTTGTAAACAAATAAGGTACACCAAGCTTACAGTTGGTACATTTGTGTGATACTCCTGTTATGTCACATTTGTGTGCACCAACTGTAGCCCTGGAATGGTATCAAAATTGCATCTATACAGAGGTGTGTGCTTGTAACCCCAAAATAGCCCATGTACACCAGTTGTGACTTCAGTGTGCACCAGTTGTGGGGTCACACAAAGGATAGCTCCCCACTTGGGCAGCTTTTCAGTCAACTTTTAAGAAAAATCTGTGTGCCGTACTTTAGTCAATAGAAGCATAGCATTAAAATTTGCTGCTGTATTTGAATACCGAGGGCATACACATCATCATCACATTGTCATTTAACCAACCTTTTGGGGGAAGGATGGATGATTGACCTGCTGGTCATTCACCCGTCCTATATCAAAGCATGTTATTTGTCTAGCGATAAATGACAAAGGTAGGTGTACACGGAATAAATAACAGCGGTTCTCAATGCTCTCAATATATACCAGGGTTCAGCAGGTGGTGAATAATCAATAATTCTTACGTTTTCGTGCAATTTATACATCGCAAATGTCCTAGTGTTATCCAGGGAGCAAATTTAAATATGCATTCAATCTTTTTATCGACCATATAAGAGGTTATGTGAAATAGCGCAGATTTCAGGAAAGATTATTTTTTGCATTAAAATTCGCATACAGTAATATGAAGCTTTATTGTATAAAAGCTACTTGTTCAAATAATATAACTTTTTTTCAGAACTCACTGGCAGTAGCTGTTTGAGATATCCCTGAATTCTGAAAAAAAAAAAAAAAAAAAAAAAAGTATTATGAAAGCGGTTCCCGAAAATCTCTAATGAAGTAAATGTTGCACTTCTTGGATTTTTTAAAGCAGATTTTGAATTCCACATTCAGCTTTGGAAATAAGCGCCCCCTTCAGTTACAGTATTTAGAAGATGCCATTCCGGTAATTTCCTACACTATCGCATAAATTTTTATGCCCATTTTCTCGGCCGATTTGAAATTAACGCTCAGATTCTTCATTGAGGAATAAACTTTCGTGAATGAAAATTTATTGGACTTGCTGATGACAAAGGATATTGACGATTCGGTAGAGAATTAGCAATAATTGTGGGTTCTTGTGGGTTTCAAAATTTTGAATTGAAGCTGTTTTAATTTTTTCGAAATACTGTATTCGAATTCACAGGAGCAATTTTTTGGCACGCACAAACGTGTTCCTGAACTTAATTGAGACTTCATTGAAAAAATGTTCTGTGTGCGTTGAAAAATCCATCGCAGTTCGTGATAATTTGGCGCATAATATAGCCGCTAAATCAATTTACCTTACAATTTCTTTTTTTATATTCGAAGCTATGCGAAGTTGAGAAGCAAGATTTGCCTAGTTCATGCAAATCGCGCGATCCTCTAAAGTAACAAATCGCATCCAAGTTTATCTGAAATAAAATTATGCATTAATATGGTAATTCATTTCCGTGAGGAATACCCGGAGTAACATGTCGTCCAAAGTAGGCCAATATATTTTCTCGTGAATGCATAAAATAAAATGAAAAAAAAAGATTCCCGAAACCAACTCCCAGCCCCGGAACTTGGAGTCTTCCCGTTAATCCTCGACTGATCCACGTGTCGGCCCGTTCTTAATCGTGTTACTCCAGGAAGTATTTTTAGAGTGATCCCAAAAGCTGCATCATGCTGAAGCTAGTGGGATTCTATCCGAAGCCTAACGAGAACAGTTCGGCTTTATACGGGGTTTTCATCCATCGTAATGGATTTTTAAGAAGGATAAAAAATATCTAAGCAGATGCATTCTTTTTAATGAGCGTGGATTCAGGGCACATGATTTTGTGAGACATTTTATCGTGGTTTTTTATTTTTTTTATCATCGTAGCTGTATTTGATTTTATGATATTTTATCACGAGATGATAATCGAAGTGGTTCGTTCATCGTATCATGAAATTAAATTTTGACCAGAACCCCCCCCCCCCCCCGCATTGTTTAAATGAGCCATTTTAGAATTACTGTATTGTAAATTTGTAATTCAAGCTCTCTTGAGCAAATAAAAATTCACTTAAATTGAAAAGTTCAAACAAGTAAATTCATCCAAAAATCTACATTACGGTGTATTGTATTTTTCGATCATTACGGATTATGCTTCGATTTAAAAGAACCGAGAAAAATCCCCGTGAAGAGCTTAGAAAAATATTAACTTTTACTGAGTTTGCTAAAAAAAAACAGGTTTATTCATGAACAAAAACTTTTGGCACGCACTCGAGCATTCTTGTGTAGGGGAATTTTCAGAATATTATAATTTTTAAATTTCAAATGAGTAAAAGGAATTCGCCTGAAAATGTTAGCTATCCTTCTTTTTTTATGTCAACGGACGATCATTTTGAAATTCAGGAAATATGCCGACTTTATTCAGAAACTTCCGTTTACTTTTGTTCTTTTCGAATAAGCACTCATTTTCCCCTTTTTGCGAAAATATCATTTATAAATTAAAGTGTAAATCAAAAGTATGCTGAAACAAGTGCAGCAAATTCGTCATAAGTTAAATTGATTATTTTTTTACGAACAAATTATGTTTTCAGGGAGTGTGCAGCAGAAAAGATTCACATATAAATTATATTTCATTGATGTGTTATATTCATGCAGTAATTTTATTATATATAAAAAATGTATTTTCAAGCCTGGCAATTTATTACAAACGGAAAAATGAGTTAGCCACATTCTCTGGCTGCTCATTAAGGATACATTTATCATTTATACCACGTGGTTCGGAACAAAAAGCTTCTTAAAAATATTGTGTGTCAGAACTTCCTGAAGCAACAACGGATTATGTTGATCCGATTGTCGGAGTGGAATATAGAAGATATTTTTTTCCCCGCCTGTTAATATATGCCGTCAGGTACAAGTGGTTCGTCATCATGTCAGGCCCCCCGTCGATTTTGCTGCTAATAATTATCCCTTATTCCCAGCGGGCCTAATGGTCCAAATTACAGAAAATCGGATCAACCCACACGGAGATCAATGAGCTCCACCCGCATCATCATCCTCATCGTCATCAATGATCCCTTGTTCTGAGTCAAAGGAACACCTGGTTTCCTATATACTGAGCTCTTGTATCGTGTCTCTTTTCGAGGCATTTACGAGGAGGGAACAGCATAATATTCCGGATGACCCGTTTTCTCATGACCGGTGCTGTGCCTTCAAAACAATACCGTCGTTGTCATTCCGTGTTCATCCTCTGATGGTGGATGATGAACTATGCAGTTCTATAGAGCGAGCTTTTGCCAAAAACTCGAACGCATATATTCCTCTTTTTTTTCAAAGTTATTGTATGCAGTTTATCGCGACCTTTTATTATGCAGTACTGTATGTGTGAATGTTGTCAAAGTCCTCGTCGTCGAGAATCCAGAGCCAACTTTTTCGTTTGTGCGAATCCTCGACTGCAACGAATTTTATGATGAATTAAAAATTTTCGAGCGTTGTACTAAGAAAAATTTGCCACCATTTGGTGACTTTCTGACACTTTTGTCACTTACTCTATGGGATTGTTTGAGCAGTAGTCAACTTACCAGTGTGGCACATGAGGACTTTTCAAAGAACCCCAGAGAATTTTCAATTTCGAAAAATCCCGATTTTCTGGGGATCGAATTTTTAGGCTCGTGTGCGCTTGTGGCACGCAGTGTGAAAACACATTTCAGTGAATTAAAAAGGCAATTTTTAAGAATGGAGTAAGGTACAGTATTTTCTGGAGGCTAAAAATTATATTGAAGTTTGATACGGTATTATTATCTGGACTTATGATGTATACCTTTTGTTGCAGGTTAGAAAAAAAAATAGCGTTGAATGTCGAAAGCCACATGCACAAGTTATGCGTGAAGTAAATCAATTTTTTAGCATCTTCAAAATTCCTAAGTCAGTTTAGAGCAATGCAGGAAAATTTTAAAGTTTACAACTTACTGTATTTCATAACAAGACACAAAATTACGAGAAATTCGATTTTATGGAGTTAGAGGGCGAAAATACCGTGCATTAAAGTTATTCACACGGAATCCCTCATCAAACGCAGTGTAATAAAACTAAATTTGAAAGTAAAATTGCTGCATATTCGAAAATTTACCGATGCTTTGACATTTTTTTAATTCGAACAGTCTGTTTCCTTCCCATTTTGATTCAAACATATCTCGTTTATACCTCAAAAGACACTTCAATTATAGTTTCGGAAGATTTCGACTTTTTGGAATTTTGGGCGCAAATTTTTAATAATATTTGAAAACTACCCTAGCTTTCCCAAACGAATCAAAGTTTACATACCTTATAATATGAACACTCGCCATATTTTTTCACGCACATGGGAAAATTGCGTCTCAATTACATTTTTCTGCGTAAATATAAATACAGTACAGTGCATATGTACAGCATACTTTTGGGTGTTCTGAAGGATTATTGAAGGGATTTCTATTCCTCGAATTCGAAATGAATGCGTGAGTAATGAGTATAATCGCGATTTCAGGACATCCGCACATTGATAAGATTATTCTGTTTGTAAAACCGAGCATAATTGATTACGCAAAACACGTTCCCAAGCGCATTAGAAGGAGCTGGAAAATTTTTTATCTGCGCAGTTTTTTCGCGGTCTTCGTATTTTTTCCTACTCATATAAGCACTCGTTCGTCTACCATCGCTGTTTCATATCTAAAAAAAAAAAGTGGAAGAAAATCGCGAATATTTTCTCCAGTGATATAAAAAAAAGGAGGGAATTTTTGTTGTGACCGTTGGAAGAAAAGAGTTGGGCCAGTATGTCGAAACACACAGCGGCAGTCATTTGCACTTTGGTGCTGACGGGTAAGTGCTGCTGATGTTCCCAGCTTTTCGTGCATTCCGCGGGATATTTTTGGGTCTGAAATTGCTTTCGGGGTGACGGAGTACGAAATGTATGTTGAGTAATGAGCTGGTAAGCCAAGAAGACCCCGAAATATTCTCGTCATGAATTTTGCGCTGCTTGAGTATGATTCAAAATATCAGCCCTATATACCTGCTGCCGCATTTGCATTTTAATCACTGTTACAGAAGAATCGGTCTTTGTTCTACAGACAAAGAGTTTTTAATGCTGCCGATTCTTTCGGACGAGTAAAAAATACAAGCGAGCATATGTTCTCTGCTAAGAAATTATCTCTACAAATGTTTTCATCGTGTTTGACAGGAGACACACTTCTGTATAATTCTTCTTGTAGCTAATAATGTGCGAAAAGCCGCAAAGTTTTCAAATTATGGGCTCTGATGTTACAGTGGGGCCCCAAGATGTGGACAAAAACATGATTGGTGCTTGGAAATTGTCCTTATGTCGAATATTGCGTTTTCCCACAGACTTCAATGGGAACATATCCGATGGGTTCTCCTGTTCGTCAAAAAATTGGGTCAAGTCCGACAAAAATGTAAAAAATTCTCAAATTCAATTTACGGAAAAAAATAAAACTTCACAGAATCTGTTTTATTTTTATGAAAAGGAATCCAAAAAGCTAAAAACAAACTAGTTTTGCTACACTCTGCACAGAGGATGGAAAAAATATCTTATGACAAAAGAAACACAAAATTAGCCTTTTATATATTGAGTATGAATTAGAGTAAGTTCATACTTCAATTTTTTGAATATGAATGGCTCAATTCGTTCAAGAGATTATCAAAATTAATAAACGAAATATTTCGATTTTTTCTGGAAAGTGTCTTGAGACATTTTATGGATGCATATGGGCAGATTTTTTAAACGTTCAAATGTCCGAAAGTCAAATTCATCCGCTTTTTTGGGCGTACGTAAGTTGGGGTTTCATTGTATTTTATGAAAGAAAAAAAAGGACAGTAATCAAGAACTCCTGAATAAGAGTGTTGAAAATGTTAGGAAATTTTTCAAGATTTGAGGACGGCAATTATGATGGATGGATTGTACACAGTATTGTATATATTTTACTCAGGGGCTACTTTTACTCGTAACATGTTTTCAGTTTTGTTTTTTTGAGGAAGGGTACGGTATTTTCTATTTGGCTTTCATACGACGAGGTTCGACTGCGGATCAAGCGTGCGATCACACCGAACTTGAAGTTTGCCTCTCTTTCTCTCGAATTTCTTTTTTTTTTACAATTTCTCGTTTTTTTTCCTTCGTTTTACGTCACAGTTCTAGCTGTCACTTGCATTCAAGAGTCGTCGACTTCGCAACCAACAGAACCCGGCTCGAACGCCCGGGTTTGCTGGGACGGGAGAGGAAAGTTCCAGAGCGCGGACAAGTACCCGGATTGCCCCATGAGCCGTGAATTCTTGCCAGTTTGCGGCACCGACGGACTCTGCTACCCGAACGGAAAGGCTCTCAAGTGCACCAACAAACACCTCTCGAGTACCGGACAGACGACTGAATACGGTGAGGGGGGGGGGTGCATATTATAGGGCACGAATTGACCCGAACAAGGCCGCTTTTCCACTTTCGAAGCTATTTGCGGCGTAATTCATGTACGGTATATACATATAGGTATACGGAACAGGATACGAGAAAGTTTTGAATGAGGTGGATATATGCTCGGATGGGATAGTGATGGAAGTTCTCGGAAATTCAGATTTGTTGTATACTGTAAGGATAACGATTCGTATTCTCGATTGGTACGCATGCTGCTGGTCATGGATCAAGAAGAACAGAAACCCACAGCGCATATATTGCAATACAACACGTGATGTGGGACAGGGGTTAAATCCTTTTTGATAACTTGCGCCCCCTTATATAGATTGCCCAATCCAGTACCTCAGACAAACTTGTTAATGAGAATGTAGATGTCGCCTACACTACATGTAGCTGCAAAATAAGTCGATCACGTCCGCCCTTTCCGCAGCAGTGATGGAATACTGTTCGACGAGGCGGAAAAGGACCAACAATTCTCAGAACTTACGTTTCCCGAGATTTTCCCATTATACTGTACCAAATTTGATGACTGCAAATTGATTTTGTTGCAGTCCGGGAATTGTAGAAAATGTGAACGCAATTTTTTTCAGCCATTTTTACTCTTATAATTCCTATTGAAAACGCGCTACCCATAGATTGAGATAGTCTGCTGTTTCATACAGCATTGAATATTACAGTACAGTATTACTGATACACGGAATTTGATCTTTTCATTTCAGTAAAAATCGAAATAGATGCCACAGGAGATAGCTGCGTTCCGAAGACGAGTAGCTGAATGCTGCATTTAATTGTGAATACGCATTGTATTTACTGATGCGTGTATATATCCGTCGAGAAAATTTCCCATTATTGCTGTGGAGGAAGCCGCGCTTACATGTTGAGGAACATCTCTCTTCGGCGGCCATCAAAAAAGCATCAATATACTGTACTGTAATGGAAAAAAACCCCGTGATTTTTGTGCTGTTTTATTGGTAAATCTACTGTGTGTGGGATGATCGCTTGACTGAAAATACATTCCTCTTTGTTCGACGACGATTATATTTGAGGAATTGAATTAATCTTTTAATCGCGGGTTGCTTCGCATGCTAGATGCCAATGCTGTACAGTGTATTATCAGAACATACAAATACAGTATATACTGTATGCAGGTATATATACATGCGGTACCCGGGAGCCGGGGATAAAGACGACTCCTGTTATTGCTGGATAGTCCACACAACGGCCTGAATGTACATATAGCTTCCGATCGAATGCCTCAATTATTCTGTTTCTGCTTGTAGATAACTATACAGTACATCATAGTTCTGGAATAGACTCCGATTCGCAAAATAAACAAAATAAATTTCAAATGATAGTCTTAATGAGAAATGGAATCGCGAATCGTCTTGAATGCTTCAGAAGATTTTAGGATTTTAAAGCGTTCATTTTTAATACTAAATTGAGCATTATATCGATGCTTACTTTTTTTCTGAAATTATTTCTAGCTAACTATAATGTCATTCATCGATAGGTATCCCTTGGAAGAAATGGAAATTCTGAGGGATCTATGGAATTGCTGTGCAGGATATATATAGTTTGAAGTACAGTAATTTACAGTACAGTACAAGTGTTCACTATGTACGATATACTGCAGTATCGGAGCTGCTCAGCGTTCGAAGAAATTGCTTGATACGCAAATTAAATAATTAGCCACTTCGTATACAGTATAGTTCAATTTGTGTGCTAGTGTACTGCGGGTACATTTCTGGAGTAATATTATAACACATCCTATCTGAAAAGTTTTTTTCAACAAACTATATATAATACAAAGTACCGCGCATAAGTATTGATCCAGCACTAAAATATTGAAAGATCCATAAAGTACAGTACAGAATAATATGAATGCATTAAAATTTCCGATGACTCGTTTTGCATTTTGGACTATTCCATAGGGAAAAACCTGCAGAAGCTAAGGTATAATTCTGCAAATCCATGTTCGCTTCGTCCTTACGTAGCGCTGAAAGTAATGCTGCTGTACTGTACAGTACAGGCACTGTATTTTCTTCCTGATCCGCCGCTCCGCGCTGCTTGCATGGTTCTTAGCTCAAGGTTGTTTTAGTGACATCTAGATTTTTAGAGCGAAGCAAGCCATTCTGTTTTACTGACCCGCCGCAAAATTCATAGTCAGCCTGCTAACCGTTGCCGTGCGGCTTGAGAACGCGTTGAGCGGCAGGATAGTGAAAGCTAGATTTTATCACTGTGAACATTGATTAGTGTTATTATTTCACCTTGTCCTTTGCAATTTCTGTGAGAGGTATCCTGTGACTCCCTGATCTTTGCATTTAAGGAACGGAGACACAAGAATCAAACCTCAGGAAACAGTGTGTTTTCGTCACCGCAGAAATTATAAGACGATATTTTTTCGGATTTCGTCGTTCAGAAAGTGTTAGGCTCTATCCTTTAAGTTTCAAGTGCGAAGTTAATGTAGAACTTGAACCTTTCATGTAGGTTGGATTATATTTATGGAGGGTTTATTTCGATCTCTTTATGAGTGGGAAGCATTGTAAAGGTTTTCAAGAAGTAGAAAAAATATTTTTATTGGAATTATTTTGCTTGGAGTATCAAAAGCAGTTGGGTAAACGCTGCCGTGTGTGAGTTATAGTCTGTTGTAATATTTGATTTTATCGTTGATTTGTTTTCTCGTAAGAAGTGTGAACCCGTTCGAAATGGCTGCTGGTGATCCGATTCTACGCCGCAATACTCCAGGGACACCTAACGCCGTAAGATCTACATCTTTTTGCGGCGAACAGCTGGGCATGCACTTTCAAAGTGTATGTGGTATAATTTTTTCTTCGCAGGATTGGTGTCGGTGGCCTCACAAGGCGTACGAAGATTTGGAAAGTACTCTTGCAGTTCAAGAGTTCATTCAGCAGACAATTAGGGAAGATCCGTCTAATATTGATCTTATCCTCACCGCACCCGAGAACGTCGACGAAGGCGTTTGGAAATATGAGCACCTAAGGCAGTTTTGCATGGAACTCAACGGCCTCACTGTAAGGCTTCAAGATGACTGCACACCGCAAACCTGTAATCAAATGACTGCAACTGAGCAGTGGATCTTTCTTTGTGCCGCTCACAAAACCCCAAAAGAATGCCCCGCTATCGATTATACACGCCATACATTGGATGGCGCGGCGTGTTTACTTAACAGCAATAAATATTTCCCGAGCCGGTGAGCACCCGCTGACGTTCACAGTTCTTCGTTTATTTACGTTACGTGAAATCCACTCCATTGCAGCATAAGCATTAAGGAATCATCTGTTTCCAAGTTGGGATCCGTGTGCAGAAGGGTATACCGCATCTTTTCTCACGCGTATTTTCATCATAGAACCATTTTCGATGACTACGAGGTGAGTCTCTTTGGAATTGTGTGACGAACATTAAGCATATATATCCCTGCTTTTTTTGCAGGCACAAACTCATCTGTGCAAGAGATTCACTCTGTATGTTACTCGTTATTGCCTGATGTCGAAGGACAACCTGATAGTTCCAATTCTGGAGAATGCTGCGTCGGATTTAGGCGGTGAATCCGCTGCTTGATTTTCTTGGTGTTCAAGTTTGTGGATGACTGTTGCCTCATCGCTGTTTCAAGCTAGGCTCTTTCACATTAATAACAAGTTCTCTTATTCGGGTTCTGCACCGAGTTCTTTATTCTGCTTCTTCATAATGACCTGGATTAAACTTCAATTGCTAATCCTTCGCGCATTATACGGAAATTTTATCGAATAAGCATGACGGGACTCTCTTTTTCCGTATTTTAGACTTTTTTTTTCCTGCATGCTTTTTATTGAAGTTATAGGCTGAAAACAAACCCAATAAAACCAGCTTTTCCGTCCCTTATTTTGAAACTGGATTAACTATTCTCAAATGGATGCTTAGCTTTTGGTTTTGCAGTATTTTAGGATTGTGTGGCTTCTCGATGAACTCACGCTAACTTAATCTTGTGGTCTTGTGATGTTTGGATGTCGATCTCTTGAATGAAAGAAAGCTGCCTTTTGAACTGTTGTTATTTTTTTCCATCGATTTGAGTGTGATGAGTATTGTGAGGTTTACGGAGTATTTCGAACATTTAATCTAAGTTTTGTCGATTTTTGGATGCATGGTAAATTGAGTCGGAACTATTGTATCGATTGGTGGTCCGCAACGTGGATTAATAATATTCTGAAAGAATACTGTTTTTTTTTTCGAATCTTCACGTGTATATGAAAAAATTATCGTTGATGAGCTTATTTTTCATCCATCTAAAATAAATTCGGTATTTTGAGCTGCGGAGTAAAAAATAAATATTTTCGATATTATTGGAAGAAAAATTGAATGCGTTAGTCCATCAGGTCTGAGACGTACCTCAGAAGTCTCAGAAATGCGAGCAATTTTTCCTGTAATTCTAACATATCTTAGTGATTTATAAAATTAAATTTTGAACTTGATTCTACTCACAAGACTGTATTGGTCGGAAGCTCTTATGTTTTACAATTGAATCTACCGGCAACTTTTACAAATGGAATATGTGATGCGGTCTTTCATCTGTGAGTATGTTCGCAAAAAATGAGTTCTACATATTGAGTGAATAAGGTGCTGTGGTAGTTGCGTCGAATCGAAAAAGTTTTTGAGTTACTCATGAATCGGTGCGGGTTATGGTCATTACAATGCATGGATTCCTGAAGTACGCTTTTGTAGATCATAGCTGGCTGGTGCATTCTTTGAGCTTATGTCTTGTGGCTTCCTGGTTCGTGTCATAGTGAGTTTGTTTACATGATGAGCGCTTACTGGGATTCGTTGACGCTTCCCCTTGGCACCAGCTGGAAAAGCCGTGCTCATCTCGTCACCGACGCGAAGTGAATTACCCGGCTCGTGTGTACAGTGAGAAGATGGCCGCGATGTCGTGATGTTGAAGCTCGACCGAGAATGATCTTCCGTAGTGCTTCTCGCGTGCAGTACTGATTTTTCGGCTTGAAGCTGAAGAACACTTGGCATATTTCTTGCGGCGGTGAATTCCTTACTTTGAATATTGAATTGCGAGTGGAAGCGGTCTTGCGGAAGATACGTTCTGAGTCTACATAGAAGAAGTGAGTGTTGATGATTTCCAGTAGACAATTTTTATGCCGGAGTCAAGCTTTGCTTATGGGCAGAATTATGTTGATCTGTCTGTTTTCTATGTTCCGTTTTACATGTATCGGCATATAAACTAACGTGTTGAATTGTTTGAATATTGCAATTAGAATAGGAAGTCTACCATGAGTCGTAGTTTTCAAGAAGATACTTAAATTTTTAGGAACATTTTTTATATTTGAGAACCTTGTAAGCGGTTTGTACAAATACACAATTTTCATTTGACCCGTTTTATTTAAACAAATGACCTGGGCTGAAATATGTTCTTCAAATTTCGAAATTTAAGCGAATATCGGTAATGAAGGAATCGGTCGTTGATTTTTTTTAGTCTTTCGAATTACATTATTGAAATGATCCTGGATAATATACCCTGTCATTATGCTGGTATTCGAAGTTCCGCTAATTTTATAATTAAGGATTTCTGCAGTTTGCTCTGTGTAAGACGCAGTAAGAGGAAGCTATTTCCATGGAATGTGAATCTTACTTTCTGATTTATGTGAAGTACAGTAATCGGTCAACACAAAGCTCAAGTTTTCATCGCAGATGACGCTAAACTAGCTTAGAAATTACTTGCTGTGTGTTTGACACAGGAATGTTATACTTTTGTAAGAAGTTCAGTACAATACTTTCTGAGTGCGGTACTTAACTGCATACGAGTAGGTTTCATATTTTTAATCACAGGAGTCATATTTTCAAAGGAATTTTAGTCATCATACTTATGATAACATTTGTAGAAAATGTATTTTGAATCTTGAGGAAGTTTGCCAGAAGAGATTCGCTCCCCTGTGAAGAATTTTCGATTAAAAACGATATTTTTCAAAATTTAGGCGTGAATCCCGAGCGTGTCTGTTCTATAACAGTACTCCCTGGCAGTATAATGCATAGCCTTTGCGCTTCCACGGCGGAAGCAGTCATGACGTGTTCAGTTTCTCGAAGTACTGCGCTGGTCTGTATAGCTTCCGAGACATTCCCTTGGAATTGACTTTTCTTGTTCACGAAGAATGCAAACGGATGTTCTATGTCGCGGAATCCATTCGTTTTCCGAATAGGTTGGGAAAGCTTTTCATTTTTATCGTACTGGTTTTTTTTTTTAGGATTCCGTGTTGGACATCAGAGTTTGTCAAGATTTATTTAGCTGATGACCTTCCAATAAAAAGTACTGTATTATTAGCCTCTTGGAAAAAGAACAAGGTTTTCTTGTAGGGGGCATACACTTCCATGGGCTACAACTCTCGAAATCGGTGGGTACTAAAGACTGAAGTGTAGAAAATTTTACAAACCCAATGCAACTTTGCTATGGGGCTTCTATCATCATTTTTGAGAAAAAAAAAATCCTTGCATTGTTCATAAGCACTTGACGCGTGGTCAAAGTTTTTCCTGAATATCAACGTCACCCGTTCCATCTTCTTCACACAGAAATTTCCCGAGGATGTCCAACTTTTCAGATTTTCCTTGTTCCTTTCATCTAATGCGAAAACAAAACATTTTACTTGAAAATACAGTAGTTTGAACTGCAGGAAATAATAATACAGTACTTACACATCCGTTTCCTGTAAAAAGTGAAATAAAACTCAAACTGAAACGACGACTTTCCTAGATTGTGCAGCTTTCAGTAATAGAGAAACCCCGCGAATGCGTTTGATTTTTTTTTTTGAACCTGTCAACATCCGATTTTTACTGGGCTTGTGATGAATTTATTGATGCATAAACTGGTGTACAGTAATTCGAGGATTCTGATACTTTTTCCTTAGCATTTCTAAAAAAAAAAATCAAAACCGCTGACTACGCTTTTATGATCGGTTGAGTCCCGGCGAAGCAAGGAAAGTTCGACTTGTAACCCGGTACATTTGTAGTGCGGGCAGACTCTCGCTACAACGAAATGGAAGGATCTAGAAAAAGAATTCCTTCTTGAGAACCCCTGTAAAATGGGTGAAAGAATCCTGTGGGAAGAAAAGAAAAATTCCTTATACCATGGGACTCTTTCTACAACGATCTTCTCTGGACGACACATTTTTTCAATTGCCCACAAGGTTCTCTCCCCGTGTTGTAAAGGGGTTCTCTACAACGAATTTTCTATGGTCCCTCGAATTTCTGTCGAGAGTGTCCACCTGTACACAGAAAATCCTAGACAAGATTGTTTAAGGGAGAGCCTACTTGTATACAGTACTTATGTTCATCGTGAAATCCGAGTGCCCCTAACCTACATGGGAGTGGTTCTTCACGTACTCTAGTAACGTCTGGTTGGGTGTCCCGAGGCGTTTTCTGTCTGCGCGGGTTTTCGCCGCAACCCAGACGCATCACATGCCTTGATTTCTTCGCGAAGCCTACCTAGCTCTCGCGAGTATGTAGTATCTCGGTCAGTGTGACGAAGGGCACCAAAGTTCGAGGTTCATCCGAGGTGATCATACGTGTGCTGTCTTCGCTTGAGCAATGGAGTTCGATGTCGAGATTGTTTTCTTCTCTTCTCATGACCCCGATTTTTAAAAAAATCAAGTGAAATGCCAGTGCCTACTTCTAAATTTTTGCCACCGAGTGTTGCGTGCCAAGAAAAAGTTTTCTGTTTTCGATAAAGGTACAGTGACCTTTTTGAAATCAAACTTGAGTGAAAAAAATTCGAGTTTGGGAAACGAGCACTTTTTGGGGAAATTAAGAAGGAGTACGGGATTCGGGAAATTGTAATTGGTAATACTGTATTCTGGGCCGTAATTCTCGAATGAGTTGACAGGATGCTGAACTTGGAGGCAAGGTTTCATTTGCCCAATTTGTCTTTCCCTTCCTTTGAAAAAACACATGAATTTAGATTTTTATTGCCTTTCTCTTTTCTGTGACGATAAAATCATACTGTAGCCAAAATTTCACCAGAAAATTCGAGTTATGGAAGCTTGTGAGGGAAAGCCTTGAGGTTGCGGAAATCTTTAATTCATTGTTTTTCTTTTTAAAATTGGCATAGGGAGTTGTTTGACTTTAACCCTCAACATTTGATGACAATCACGCCAAAGAATCGGATTTTCTTGTACACTTGCTGAACTTTGGTTGAAAATGAAAACGTGCTAAAAATATATATATAAGTCAAACTGAATGAAGGTGGTTTTTTCTCCAGTTTACGAGCCGTCTTTTTCCTCTCTCTCTTTCTCTCTTGATGCGAAAAAATGTGAACCCTGTGTGTAATTTTTCTTCGAAATGTCTCCCGAAAGTGATTATGAGGCGTACGTTCACTTGCCGTCCATAAACGCACGTTAATTTAGCAGGTGCTGCTGCATTGTTTCGGTGATTTCAGCCCATTTTATGTGCAAAGAACTTGAAGGAATGCTTTTCAATCATCTGCTGAGTTTGGTAGATCTTCCGCAGTTCGCAGTCGCGCCCTCGGGGTGAGAACACAGCGTTTTGGCGAGAGGAAAAATCCCTGGTTATTCCATTAGGCGTGTCGATGTGCATGGGGTGGAAACTGGAGAGTCAACAGGGAAAGAAACGTTACCGCCAAAATAAGCACCGCCCAACTGATCGTTTCTGCAGATTTTGTAGAATGGTGTCTCAGGCGGAATTTGAGATGTTGTCTATGTCTGCATGGAGTCCCTTACCTCAATAACTGGATTTTTTTTGCCACTTGAAGTGTGACTTGAAGAGGATCAGCTATAGTTTTGAATATATGTGTAACATGTTACGTCCGTATTTTAGGTGTTAACTAGACTTCTGTACAGTTGTTTTATTTCACAAGATATCAGGGTTCACTCAGGTTGTACCAAATTTCTGCCATTGCATATTTGTACCATTCTAATGAAAGGAGCTGTGAAATAACTGTGCATTCAAGTGGATCAGTATAATCATGAAGTTTATGTCCCCGTTTTTTTCTTTCATTCAAAGTTAAACCTCTTTGAGTCGAATTCAGGGGGG